CAATAATCAAGGGCACAGGCATTCCAGCAGACGACATTTATCATCGTCAGCTTAACGTTCACAGCAACAGGGTTTACTTACTGGCTAAGTGGAGTATCATGTCCGTTACCCCCCACCCCCACCCCCACCCCCACACACTTTTTAATCATACCCGCCTTACTAAACACTTCTCGGACTAAGAGCATTCGGGTGATAGTACTGTGTGTTTGAAATAGATGTAAAAACATTCGGGTAATAGAGCTGTGTGTGAAATAGAATCTCTGTAAGAGCATTTAGGGTAATGGTACTGTCTGTGAAGTAAATGCTGTACAATAGTTTATGTGTGCAAGCAAAACTTTTGTCAAATTACGCTGTGTACTTAAAGTGGCAAGCTCATTTATGTCAAGGTACTTTGTGTCCTTATAGTGACAAGCTCAGCTATGTCAAAGTACTTTGTGTCCTTATAGTGACAAGCTCAGCTTTGTCAAGGTACTTTGTGTCCTTATAGTGACACGCTCGTTACTGTCAAAGTGCACTGCTTTCTAATAATGACAAGCTTGTTACTGTCGAAATACTTAGATTTCTTTAAAAGTCACAAGCTCGTTGCTGTAAAAATACTTTCTTATAGTGACCACCTCGTCATTAATTTTATTCACCTTTTGTTCTGGTCATTAATTTTATTCACCTTTTGTTCTGGTCATTAATTTTATTCACCTTTTGTTCTAGTCATTCTATTTATTCTCCTTTTGTTCTAGTCATTAATTTTATTCTCCTTTTGTTCTAGTCATTAATTTTATTCACCTTTTGTTCTCGTTATGAATGGAATGTTATTCACCTTTTGTTCTTGACAGTAATTTATTTCACCTTTTGTTAAAGGCATTAATTTTATTCACTTTTTTCTGGTCATTAATTTTATTCATCTTTTGTTCTAGTCATTATTTTTATTAACCTTTAGTTCTCGTCATTAATTTTATTCATCTTTTGTTCTAGTCATTATTTTTATTAACCTTTAGTTCTCGTCATTAATTTTATTCACCTTTGGTTCAAGTCATTAATTTTATTCACCTTTTGTTCTAGTCATTAATTTTATTCACCTTTTGTTAAAGGCATTAATTGTATTCACTTTTTTCTGGTCATTAATTTTATTCACCTTTTGATCTTGTCATTATTTTTATTTACCTTTTGTTCTCGTCAGTAATTTTATTCACTTTTGGTTCAAGTCATTAATTTTAATCCCTTTTTTCTGGTCATTAATTTTATTCACCTTCTGTTCTCGTCATTAATTTTATTCACCGTTTGTTCAAGTCATTAATTTTATTCGCCTTTTTTCTGGCCATTTATTTTATTCACCTTTTGTTCTATCATTAATTTTATTCGCCTTTTGTTCTGGTCATTAATTTTATTCACATTTTGTTCTAGTCATTAATTTTATTCACATTTTATTCTAGTCATTAATTTTATTCGCCTTTGTTCTGGTCATTAATTTTATTCACCTTTTGTTCTGATCATTAATTTTATTCACCTTTTGTTCTGGTCATTAATTGTATTCACATTTTGTTCTAGTCATTAATTTTATTCACCCTTTGTTCTAGTCATTAATTTGAATCCGCTTTTTAGTATTTACCAACCACTCCATCTTTTTTCCATTAATAAAGGCAAAGGTAATAGTACCGAACGCAAATTTGTATAGTTAACTCTGTGGACAGAAAAAGTTACAGCGGTCTGCTCCACATAGCGCGCTACTGTTGCGACAGCCCCTACCATCCCGAGGGTACCATCGCGTGGGTGGCCATCACGTTGGTACCATCTACTGAATGATAATTAATCACACGAGCTGTAGACAGGCACCGGTAGTAAAACTTGGGAGCCCTCCACACTACATGGGACATTACGTCAAGATACTTTTCACAGTGTCCATCCCTTACAATTTCCCGCAACTAGCATATATACCCCCTCTTCCCACACACACACACGGAAAGAGAGAAGGAGATTTCTGCTATTCTTAAGGACACAAGTTAATAATTAACATTACGGTACATCAAATCATGGCGACAACACATTTAAGAGATGTAAAACTCTCACTGCAAACTCGGAGATGGCGTCCCGCAGGTTGCATGAAATTGAAACAATGACGATTCCGCCAACTCCTGGGTCGTGGAATGCATAAAAAATCCCATTAAAACACAACAGACACACTGCCGGTCATCTACTACATCCTGGTCTATTTCCAGTCGTCTTGACTAAGTCTTGCCATTGGATCAAATAGGCGTGGACGAGCGAGTGAGGCTGACGAATTGGGGAACTCTCCCTCACTTTAAACAAAATAACAGCTCAAGTCGAGGCTACTACTACCCAAGTCGAAGCCTTGGTCATCTTTGCATTTTAAATTACAGTTTACTGTTAAAGCACAGAACCTAATACCCGATGTTAAAAGTTCGGGGTGTAAACATTTAGATAGTAAACTACATTGTCAAGATCAGCTAAGATTTCATCCCCACAGGCAACAATGCGTCTTGAAAATCTACCCCACAAACAAATAAACAAACACAAGATCGACCTCCAGATAGCGTCATTTCGTCTTAAGTTCCTTGTTAATCCCGACTTCGTTGCAATAGTAGTTACGGCCAAGGTTGTAACTTTACACCGCGCGGGGCGTACAGCAACCTGGCTTGGTCGATTATGTCTACCACTCAAAGCACTTGCCAGACGAGCCCTCGACCAAATTTCTTTCAACCAAATTTCTGAGTGGACGGCAATGCGTCGAGGATGATCTGATGTTTTTGTCTCATGCTCTGTAACCACGGCTGAATTAAGCTCAGGCTTTGTAACCACGACGACTTAAGCTCTGTAACCACGGCTGAATTAAGCTCAGGCTTTGTAACCACGGCGACTTAAGCTCTGTAACCACGGCGACTTAAGCTCTGTAACCACGGCGACTTAAGCTCTGTAACCACGGCTGAATTAAGCTCAGGATTTGTAACCACGGCGACTTAAGCTCTGTAACCACGGCGACTTAAGCTCTGTAACCACGGCGACTTAAGCTCTGTAACCACGGCGACTTAAGCTCTGTAACCACGGCGACTTAAGCTCTGTAACCACACCACGGCGACTTAAGCTCTGTAACCACGGCTGAATTAAGCTTAAGCTTTGTAACCACGGCGACTTAAGCTCTGTAACCACGGCTGAATTAAGCTCAAGCTTTGTAACCACGGCGACTTAAGCTCTGTAACCTCGGCTGACTTAAGCTCAGCTGACACTGCAGCTTCAAAGAATGAGAAATCCACCAAGATTTCCCTCAAGTGCCACAAGTGTTCAGAGAAAGACTTAGTTGAAGCTTTGACAACAGCTTTATGTGTTATTTTTTATAGCTCTCCAACTCACGCAGTAGATTTGGATCATTCTGTGGAGCTGACCAGGCGCAGTCGCATGTGAACTAGAATTTCAGATGGACCTTCATTGCCGGTAAGAAAGTGTTGCAATGTTCTTGAGATGGCAGTTCACGTGCAGTAAGTCGCAATAGGGAGCAACAACAGGGACATTTTGAGCCTGTAAATCAGTTTCACCATCCTACGAGCTCGGTGGTAAGCTCCAGAAGCCTGAATGTGTATATCGGCACTGGACTCTGCTCGGAAAAATAGAAGCGACAGTTGCGGAAGTTCATGATAATCATCTCTGGGCTGAACCTCTGCCAAATGAAATGAATGATGTCCTCCCGAACTGGACTGAGAGTCAATCCGATGACATCTACATCTAGTCAACTTTCGTAGCTGTACCTGTGAATTGAGTCCCATATATGCCAAATCTCTGGAATAACTTCATGTTTGACATCCACAAGCTCCGCCCATCAGTGTGTTGAACACCTCACTAGCTGCTCCCATCAGTGTGTCGAACACCTCACTAGCTGGTCCCATCAGTGTGTCAAACACCTCACTAAGTGGTCCCATCAGTGTATCAAACACCTCACAAGCTGCACCCATCAGTGTCGAACACCTCACTAGCTGGTCCCATCAGTGTGTCAAACACCTCACTAGCTGGTCCCATCAGTGTGTCAAACATCTCACTCGCTGGTCCCATCAGTGTGTCGAACACCTCACTAAGTGGTCCCATCAGTGTGTCAAACACCTCACAAGCTGCACCCATCAGTGTCGAACACCTCACTAGCTGGTCCCATCAGTGTGTCGAACACCTCACAAGCTGCGCCCATCAGTGTGTCAAACACCTCACAAGCTGCACCCATCAGTGTGTCGAGCACCTCACAAGCTGGTCCTATCAGTGTGCCAAACACCTCAGCCACGATTAGTATTAGCTCCATAATGTGGTGTCTCCATGAAAACAAATGTCATGATGCAAGAAGCAGTCCCCTCTAAACACATCAATTGACGGTAGTTAAGCATTTCACATACCTTGGATCCAATATCTCTAGTTCACTCTCCCTTGAAAAAGAGGTGAACATGAGGATCGCAAAAACAGCTGTGGGTAAATTTGAATACGCGGGTGTGGAATAACCTTAAACTAAATGATAGTACAAAAATATGCATGTGTGGTTAGTACGCTCCTATATGGCAGTGAAGTGTGACCTTTCACCAAAGATGTCTGCGTCTGACAAGGTGCTTTACACAGAGGTTACGGAACGTGCCAAAATGTGTCACATGTTCTCCGCTCTTAGCTGGTTAGGTCAGCAAGAGATGCAGAATGTTACCTCCCATCAAATGATTTAATGCAACAGTGGTAGAGCTATTATTAGACTTTCAACCTAATGATCAATACGGCAGAAATTATTTGTTTATTTATGTTATATAACAAATAGGTTGAGTGGAAATGGTGATTCCTAATGAGATGAGCCTGTAGTTAACCCATAAATAAACTGTCTTTTAATTGGAACAAAATAAAACTGACAAGATAAATTAACAGAAACTATAATATATATAATATATATTTATTACATGAAATTCATATCATCAATTTAAAACTACATAAAAATTTCATTAAACATGAAAAATTCTTGTTATTTTTAGAAACATGTCAAACAGAATGAACATTATGAACTCACGTTTGCCTTCTTCTTCTTCTTCTTCTTTTTTATCTTAACAGCATTTGGTCCGATTCCGAACTTACTTAACCTTGATGCCGACATGACCTTGCTCAGCTGATGCTGCAGCTGTCGACTGTCCAGGGTTTTTATCTCTTTATCCCCTGACTTGCCGTCTATTTTAATTGACATTTTCTTCTTCTTCTTTTTAGCCATGGTCACTGACTGTTCTCCCACCGTTGTAGGTGGTACACTCTTCTTCTTCTTTTTAGCCACGGTCACTGACTGTTCTCCCACCGTTGTAGGTGGTACACTCTTCTTCTTCTTCTTTGTTTTATTCCCTTGTTTCAAACGACTCTGCTCCTCTGGTAAACTTTGTTTAGCCGCCCCTGACCTTTTCTTCAAAGGCCCTGCTTGACCGATGATGCCTTTCGTCAAAGTTGGACCTGCTGATGCTGTTGTCGTCTTGCCTTTGACTTCTTCCCCGTCTGCTCTCTTGGCCTTGGTCCAAGCACTGGATGCCACATTCTCTACAGTTTTGCTCTTTAGTTTTTTCGGCTTTTTGTCAAAGTCATTCAAAGAAGAGCAATGATCTTTCATTTTTCTCTTTACCCCTTTGGGGGCTGTGTTTGAGGGGTCCTTCTCTGCAATAGCGATCTCACTCTCTTCTGTGTCTGGATCTGGATCTGGCGTGCCGATGTGTGGGTCAGAAATCTGGGCATCATCGCTGACACCATCAGTGACCACTTTCCTTTTCTTCTTTTTTTTCTTCTTAGCTTTCCTGGCATGGTCAGAATAATACTTGGGTTAATAGTTAATCAAGAAAATCTGGCGATGAGAGTGCAGAATAGTGGATATAAACTAGATGCAGATAGTGGATATAAACTAGATGCAGATAGTGGATATAAACTAGATGCAGATAGTGGATATAAACTAGATGCAGATAGTGGATATAAACTAGATGCAGATAGTGGATATAAACTAGATGCAGATAGTGAATATAAACTAGATGCAGATAGTGGATATAAACTAGATGCAGATAGTGGATATAAACTAGATGCAGATATTGGATATAAACTAGATGCAGATAGTGGATATAAACTAGATGCAGACAGTGGATATAAACTAGATGCAGATAGTGGATATAAACTAGATGTATATGATTTACAAACTGGGCCGACAGCTTTGGCAGTCCGTAGAGTCATTTTGTTAAACATGTCACTGGGGCATGTGTGATTGATAGGGAAGACAATGTCTGTCTTTTGGCAAGACAGAAGAAGAACAGTCTTCTTACAATGGATAGCCATTTTTTGCATTGATGTATTTAAAAAACAAAAAATTGTTCAGCTTTTGAAAATGAAATAGGTGAAACTCAAATAAATAAGAGGAAATGAAAAGCCCTAGTCTCCAATTCATGGCAGGATGTTAAGTCACAAATATTTATAGGATGTTAAGTCACAAATGCATTGTAGGATGTTAAGTAACAAAAGCATGTTAGGATGTTAAGTCACAAATGCATGTTAGGATGTTAAGTCACAAATGCATGTTAGGACATAAAGTCACAAATGCATGTTACGATGTTAAGTCACAAATGCATGTTAGGATGTTAAGTCACAAATGCATGTTAGGACATAAAGTCACAAATGCATGTTACGATGTTAAGTCACAAATGCATGTTAGGATGTTACGGCACAAATGCATGTTGGGATGTTAAGTCACAAATGCATGTTAGGATGTTAAGTCACAAATGTATGTTAGGACATAAAGTCACAAAGTCATGTTAAGATGTTAAGTCACAAATGCATGTAGGATGTTAAGTCACAAATGCATGTTAGGATGTTAAAAGAAATCAAGTTAAGTATCATGTGATGTGCAAGGGGAAATCACTATTAAATATTTTCTGTACATGTCAATGTTACAATGTGAAAAATATGAAAAACTGACTAGAGGAAGTGGCTTGCATGAAGACATACAAGGCCAGGTATGACATAGCAATGACAAGACCAGGTATGCCATAGTACTGATGCCAAGGCCAGGTATGCAATAATACTGATGACAAGGCCAGGTATGCAATAGTACTGATGCCAAGGCCAGGTATGCAATAGTACTGATGACAAGGCCAGGTATGCAATAGTACTGATGCCAAGGCCAGGTATGCAATAGTACTGATGACAAGGCCAGGTATGCAATAGTACTGATACCAAGGCCAGGCATGCCATAGTACTGATGACAAGGCCAGGTATGCCATAGCACTGATGACAAGGCCAGATATGCCATAGCACTGATGACAAGACCAGGAAAACTCAGAATATTTTGACATAACTTACTTAGTCTCCTTTTCTGTGAGTGAAGGCAAAACTTTCAATTTCCTGTTCGGGATCCTAGCTCTTGCCAGAAACTTGCGGCGTTCCGACAATTCTTCCTGTTTTGACCTGTACTGGCTCATCTTCTTCACAGACACCCATGTGTTCAGCTCCCTTTCTGGTGCTGTTAAAATCTGTGGAATTGAATTGATACGGGTCATGTGAAGTCAGTTTTATTTTATGTAAGACTTGTGCCTGAGATGACTTTAGTAGGAACAAGAGCCATTTGTGGAATGGCCCAGCTTTAGTAGGAACAAGAGCCATTTGTGGAATGGCCCAGCTTTAGTAGGAACAAGAGCCATTTGTGGAATGGCCCAGCTTTAGTAGGAACAAGAGCCATTTGTGGAATGGCCCATCCTGTGTTCAAAGCAAATATCCAGACTGACTAATCGGATCATCTGTTAAAAGACTTACAATGAAAAGCCACCTTCGTTATCTATCTGTACACCACATTCATTATCTATCCCTATGCCACATTCACCATCTACCTCACTCAGGATTATGCACCATTGTTTCCATAAAAGAAATGAATGTTTACAGGTTTTACCTCTTCTGTTGTTAGTCCAAAATCATTTGGGACAACTTCTCTGTATGTGAAGGGGATAGTGTCGATTTTATCCTTGAGGTACTCATCTATGTATTCATCAAATGTTTTTGTTGCTGTTGAGCGAACGGTTGATTATAAAAATTCATTACTATATAAAAATGTTGGGAATTTTGATTCCTTTTTTTTTTAAAGCTGAATCTCAAGATATTGATTTATTATTTCACATTCAATCCATTTGAACTGAATCTAACGGTAAAATTAACATGTATTTGAATCTAATGGTAAAAATTAACATGTATTATATCCTTTTGAAGCAAGTTAATACTTTTGTGTTAGAGCTAATAAGGCAGCCCTGGTTACCCTTAGCACCCACAATATGAGAGATAACATTGTACTATTTCAAGATGAACTAGTACAGTATTATCTCATACAGTGCCATATAGCATCAGATAACTATACCATATGAAAATAGTACAATATCATCAGATATATTATCATACCATATCAAATAGTACAATATCGTCTTATATAGTGCAATACCATCTGGAAATAGTACTATACCTACTCAAAAAAAGTACAACATCACCTTGTATAGTATAATATAGTACTATAACATCTCAAAACAGTACAATTCTGTCTCATTGTAGTCAATAAATAAACATGCAGTGTAATGTATGCAATGACTACTTTCGGTGGTGCAAACAAAATGTTACTCCCAAAAGTAAAGGATCTACGTTGTGGGTGTAAGGTGCACAGATCACATGACCACAGTCATTATCATCATCAAACATGATTTGTTCGGTTGACTTTGCACAAGTCAAGAAGCTTTAGTAATGAGTCTGTCTAGCAGAGTCACTGAAAAAATACTTTTAGAAATAGCCAGCAGGTAATATCACAGGGAAAACTTACATGGATCAAATAACGGAAGCTTTTCAGGTAAACCACTTCTCTTCTTTTTGCTTTTCTTTTTTTCAGCTTTGTAGTCTTGTGTGGGGTCATAGTCTGCATCCATCTTGAAAAGAGTCAATTAATAAACTGCCTTTAAAAATAACAGATTTTTTATTGAATTTTTTTTTATTCCATGCAAATGTGACATCTTGTATTAAATAAGTTCTAATTGGTTTATTATCAAGGATATGCAGCGCTATTGTAATCATTTGAGGTGCAGCACTATTGTAATCATATGAGGTGCAGCACTATTGTAATCATATGAGGTGCAGCACTATTGTAATCATATGAGGTGCAGCACTATTGCAGTTGCAACCTTTCCTCATATACTGATTTAACAGTATATGTTTTAAGTTAATATGACTATTGCAGAAATCTCAATAAATGTCAGCTGTGGGGGTTAACCATGGTACTTTGGAGAATTAAGTTCACATCGATGGAATAATAGAATGATGATTCATTGAATTTCAGTCACAATACATCCATTTCTTTTAGAAGAATAGCATTTGATCAGACCTTTTGAAATGTCTATTAAATTAATAACAATGTCTTCTCTCTAAGTTCCTCCTTATCTATATTTAGATCTATGTATCACTATTCTGATACAAAATAGTGCTTTTCACTCAACTGTAAATTAACATTGAATATCAAAATGTTACAGCAATCATATGAGGTGCACCAAATAAATTTCACGAAGCATGCAACTTGACAAAGATGAGAATTTCAAGCAGGCAGCAAGGGTACACAATTTATTGCTAAAAATAATATGTTACAAAAAGTGGAAATTTTTTTTATTTGATTTTCCTATGACTTACAATAAAATCTGGATCATCTGCGCCAGGTTCATATTCATCTTCCTCATTAACTTTATCTTCCCCTCCCTCCTCTTGCCCTGCATCTTTGTCTTCATCATATTCAGCTTTTTCTTCTTTCAGACGATGTTGCCACCAGTCACCTGGAAAATAAAAATGAACAATTTGATTACCTATGTTTAAATTAACAAAAATGATTCTTAAATTTCTCGACTGCTTGAACTGAGTGATGGCCATTAATGCACCAACTTGTGTGTATGAGCTGTACATTTTCTAATAAAACTACATTGAGACTCTGTTATATTAATGTGACATAGCTTAATCTAATGAATTTCTTACCAGGTTCATCATCAATAGCTTCATCATAATCAAAATTAGGTTTCTGAATGGCATCCTTATTTTCACAATAGTAGTCTTCACTGAAAAATTTCTTAATAACAAAAGCACATGTATTGTCACCATCAAACAATAAAAGGATAAAACTAAGGATTAAATGAAACAACAAAACAAATAATTTTAAAAGAGATGAGATTCTTGGCTGCTTCAATGTTATTAATGAAATTCAATAATCAAATTTCTTAAGTGCTCCAATGTTATTAATGACATGCAATAATCAAATTTCTTAAGTGCTCCAATGTAGATACTTCGATATAACAAGGGAGACTACTACTTTTTTTGTATCGGAAATGGGCGTCGGCGCCGAAAAATCCGAGTTTTTAATTTTCCGATGTGTGTGTCTATTTATTATTAAATTAGTTCTTTGGACGTATATTTGAGTTCCGTTTCCGGCCTTATAATTTGGAAGACATCTTGGCCTACATTTCCATCCAACTATTTTGCTTTTTTCAATCGAACTTCATTTTGAAAATCTTTGGTATATTTAAGGCATCTTCGAATACAAAATTTTTTGTGAAATAAAAGGAACATGTCTTTCATATCAAATCGTGTAAGGCATCAGATATTGATATATATCTGTGCCAATTCTCATTGATGTAGGTCGTGTCCCACGTTCGCTACGCTTCTCCCAGTGACCCATATCACCATAAGGGGGGTCCGCCTTATTTCGACATGGCGTGGGCCACGCCCCCTTTTTAATGGCGGAAGTTGCCGATACTTAAGAAATATTTAATTATTACCACTATATACATCAAAATATTTGATAACTTGTGTTTCAGAATGCATTTTGAAGACATTTAAACTGGAATGTTTTAATTTGAGCTTTAAAAACCCTGTAGAGTCCATATTATAAATGATCAGAAATTTCCGTGTGCAACACGTTGTCATTGGCAACCATTCACAGCCACTTGCATAACGGCTATATCGTAGTACTATCTCAGAGTTTCATTCATAAGAGTTTGCCGTGTGCAAAAACTATTAAACCATTGGTCAGGGAAAGCTTTAATTAATTATTCATGTGCCAAAGTTGAAAGTTTAAAATAAATCGACCCTAAACAGTATTTTAGTGATAAGGGAATGCCTTAGCCTTATATAAACTATATAGTCATTGCGCATGACGCGATCGGCGGAATGAGGTCACAGAATGTGGAGATGCAGTCCATGTTAAAAAAGGACAAACCAAGTCGTACTTTAAAAATTCATAACTTTAAAACTACAACAGCTAAAAATATGATTTTGGTGTTATAATTCTGT